CCCCTTGAATTTTTGAAAATGAAGTCTAGTTATTTGTAGAATGGCCCTCAGACTGAGTTTGTTTGATGTTTCATTACAACTAGATTCAAGTTATACATACTGTTATAATTAGATTCAAGTTTACATACATACATACTCTTCTATGTCTTCCTATCCAGTTAACTTTGATAATTGGATTAAGATGTTATCTGCCAGGTTTCTCTAAAAGTTACTCTTTTTTTCTTCTTTAACACATGAATCATAAATATTTTACAGGAAGCACTTCTTTAGGACTATGTAAATACATACTCTTAAAATTTTACCCACTTAATTTTTATTCATAGCCAAGATATTTCTTGGCTTCATTATTATTATAATGGCTGCCAATTAGTGATTGTCTAATGCAATTATTCACTTCACGTTTATTAATCAGCATTTACTTCTCATATCATCTCATGTCCTTTTTTTGTGCTCATATCATTCTTGGTCTTTAAGTCCTTGGATGCTCAGTTTTTCTAGGCTTCTCTTGTACTTGTCCTGATCCATCTCTGGCATCAGCCATTTATCTAAGAAACCATGATGGATTTTAATATGGGATAATATTTAGTAATTAGGATTTGCCTTTAATGTGTGATTTTTGTAATTGGAGTGTTACTATTCCATGACGTTTTTGTTGGTCCAAACTAGAAAATGCAGTCATCTATTGGTATCTTTGGCAGATTAGTGCTGGGATACCAAAATCTGCTGATGCTCAGGTCCCTTGTATAATATGGCATTGTATTTGGATATAACCTATGTACATCCTACCTTATATTTTAAATCACCTCTAGATAACACAATGCAAATGTTACTTAGATAACTGTTACACTTGGTTGTTTAGAACATAATGACAAGGAGAAAATCTATACAGTGTCAGCACTGATACAATTTTTTAAAATATGTTCTACTTTCACTGATTGAAGCCACAGATACAGATATGAAAGACAAATTACATGTGTGTGACATACACTTAAGCAGACATAGACACATCTACATTTCTTTTTCTATGTCTATATCTACCTATGTACGTATTCCCATTACCTCCAATTCTAAGCTTACATCATTTGGGTTCACTCCACTTTTCTCCTTTTCCAAATTTACAATTCCTTGCTTAAAGTATGTGGAACATAACTCCGGGTATCTTCAGCATATTTACCATATTGAGTCAACCTTGTGCATGCATTCAGCTCACTGTCATGGCCCGGCTGTGCATCCCACACAAAGCCGCCTGAGGCCCTGCCTACACACTCTCTCTCTCTCTCTCTCTCTCTCTCTCTCTTCACTCTCTCTCTCTCTCTCTCTCTCTCTCTCTCTCTCTCTGACACACACACACACACACACACACACACAACCCTACTCAGACCAGGACCTCCTGGCACCATGTCATATCTCCCCACCGCTCCCACCTCACCTTCCTCACAGAAGCTAGTTTTGTTCAGTCCCCCATAAGGGTCTCTAGCCTCGATTATTCAGGAAGTTCATGTGTGTTATGATGGACGAGCATAATGTCCCTTGCCCAGCAAGTACTCACTTTAAGTTTTTAAAATATAATAAAATAAACTTTTTTTAGAAAAACTTCCCTATGTGAGGTTTTTCACATAAAATTTAATGTTCATTCAGAAAATAACATAACTTATTCATTATAACTTTCTTATTATAAAAAGAAAATAATCCAATAACAAGCAATAACAAACAAAAAGGAGCCTTTCAAGAAGCCTAATCTTAATTTACTTTTATAATAACCAAAAGTCCTTCATAATATTATTTTAATTAATCTTACTCTTAATTTACTTTTATAATGACCAAAAGTCCTTTTATAACGACCAAAAGCTGACCTTCATTTTTCCCAGTCTGCTAGTAAGGAAAAAACTTTTTAAGTTTTTTTTTAATGTCTCTGTCACGTCATGAACTTGAACTATTTCATGCTCATATTCTTTTTGCTCAAGCTGTCTGAAGCACACTGTGGAGGGCATCAAAACCCACAACGTGGCTTTTGTGACTCAAGTGTGACTCAGAGTCTTCCCAAGAGGGTTTCCTCATCAGGCCCATTGACCTGGAGGTCCAGGTCTGAGCATTTGGCTCTTCCATTCCATATCCTGTTTGATTCTCTTATAACTTTTAAAAATTGTTAACATATTACAACAAAGCTTGTACAGCTTTCTTCAGTGATATTATACTTTGTTTGGCTGATTTGTTTTCAAATGTAGTACACACAGATGTGATAGGGTTGTAAAATAAACAGGTGTGTGGCTCATGAAAATAGGGTTCATTACTTTTGTACAAATAAATACTTATATTTATATAAATATACAGCTAGTAAAAAATATTTTTAGAAGTATTTATCCATTAGGATTAAGATTCACTTCAGATTAAAGGCGACAGCTAACCAGCATTCAAATTTCTTAAACTTAAACTAAAACTTCAGTAAATATAAAGGCTCAAAGTGAGCATTTCAGGGACTATTGAACAGTGCTGACCATAAAACTTTAGGTTTGGTCCAATTTCAGATACAGTAGGTATTCAGTTGCTAGTGTCATCATCTTTAATTTTCATGACAACAATAACAATCCACAAATATTGTTATACATATTCCTCACAAGAACACTTTAAGGTAGAAAACACAAAGGTTATAACATGATTTCACAAGCTTACACATCTAGTAAATGGTAGAACCAAAATGCCATCCTAGGTTTTCATTCAACCCACACATCACATCTCTCCAGACTAGATTATGTTTGTAATCGGTTTCCAATTCCTCAACCACATCTTCTTATGCTGTGCATCCAAACTCCCTTCTACCTAATGAGGTAGATAAATCAAGCCAATCAAGTCTAACCTCGTGGGGAAAATGCCTTCTGAAAAGATGTTTTATTGAAGATAACTGTCTTATTCACAAAACTATTTTCCCTGCAAATTAAGAGCAAGATATCTAAAAAATTTCTCAACCAGGTTATAGTCAGAAATCAGAACATTCTTCTGCTAATAATTAAGGGCAGTTTTGAAACTAACAAAATAGGGTGAATTCTTTTTCTTCTGGACTATCATTTTTATATTAAAAAATAGTAAATTCCAAAGATGGTTGTGCAACAGCCAGGAGAACATAGAATGGGAAAGAAGGGATATTGATAGTCATTACAAAGACCAAAAATCACCATTTTCAGTTTTTAATGAATCTATTACTTTCATCTACTGAGCGTTCAAATCATTTTATCATAATAAGCACTATTTGTTGTGTTTTGATTATAAATTTATTACATGGTTATTATTTTTAGTGCAGAAAGTTATACAGAAGAAAAAATGCATACATTTTTAACTACCAAACAGTAACTACTTATTTCTCTTAAAAATTCCTTTTTATGTATTTGCATATATGGTTTTGTTTTTATAAAACTGAGATGAAATATGCTTTACTTTCTGCTTTTTTTCATCTGTATCAGTAGCCTTTTATCATGATATTAAACTGAGTAATGTGACATTACTGGATATGTCTACAGTAGGTATCCTAATTTATCTAACTCTTTTATTACAAATGGTAGTTTTTTTAATTTTAATTGTTAAAAATAACAATGTAGTAAATACCTCTGCATGTAAATCTTTGTCTACAACTTTGGGTGCATTCCTGCAGGTAAAGTTAAGTGATGAGAGGGCACAAATCCCTCTGAAGAATGATAATTCACATTGGAAAGTCCACTTCAGGAAATTCACACCATTTTATACTTCTAGTAATAGATTATCAAAACACTGAACCATTTAATATTTTAACAACATTTTGCTAATTTTCTAGCTTAAACACTATATCTCATTACTTGTATTCATTTTCATTCATTTAACTATTAATAAAATTGTGTATTTTGCATGTTAGTCTACCCTATACGTTTGTATACATATGCATCTGCTCTATATGTGTGCAGCATCTATTTTTTAATGAGATATTCATATTATTGCTAGAAACATATGTCTTCATGCACCAATGCCTTTTTCAAATATTCAATATAGCCCCTGACATATCTGTTGTCAACATTATCAGTTTGTCATTTGCTTTCAACTTTTATGCAGTCAAATCTTGAAGGTTCCACTATGTATCAGAGTTTACGGTGCTTAAAAGATACTACACATTTTGGTAAAGAGAATAGTTTACCATCAATTTTTCCATTTATGGCTATATAGCAGAAATTAAACTAAGCTGCCTTGGGAGGCCAATAACTCCTAAGCAGCAATCTCTACAGGCAATTTTAGAGAGCTGTGAATTATACAAAGCTACACTTCCAGACCCAACCTTCCATAACCATTTTCAGTGGAGATTTGAACTGACCTAGGGCCCTCTGGGAACTGTATTTTTCTCCATACATAACAGTACTTCCCAGATATAAGAATTAAATCTTATCAAAAGCACTTTAAGAATCTTCTAGGAGACGTCAAATATCTATCGCTAAATAGCATTTTGATGAGCTAAGCATATGGACTTACGGACTACATTTCCTTTAAATAAACACAAGAATATAAAATAAAAAGGTGTTTGGTCAACTTTGGGATGGTTTAGAAGGAAAAACTGAGTTTAATTGAAGTATAAAATATAATTGTGCATATTCGAGCTCAGAATAAGTTGGGTCTGTGTTGGCCACAAGTAACAATAATTCCTGAAAGAAAAGCAGGAATTCCAGGAATATTTCATATCAACCTACATTCCAAATCCCTTTGTGACCATATTTTCAAAAGAATGTACAAAGTGTATTACTTTTCCTTTCATTTCAATTCTGCAACTGTAGGAAATTAAGATTCACATTAAGCCAGATGAGGCCTTCCATCCCACTCCAGGCTGAGCCAGCCCAAATGTGTGTAGGAGAGACCAGACCAGTAGCACAGAATTACCTTCGAGGAATTGAGCTAGTCTCAGCCAAAACTGCCATCTGTCCACCGTGAAATCTGTCAATTGTGGCTATTTATGAAATATTTAGTTGAGCCTATAAATGATTCTGTCTTACCTTGCCTACTCTCTCATCACGAATCATACAGAGCTGCTTTTCTGAAAAGAGATTAGCATAGAACAGTCACTAAAAATATTCATGAAATGTAGATTGCTGTTATGACAAGTAAAAGGCTGGGCTTTGGAATGAAGCCTAGAGTCAAACCCTGCTGACACTTGTTATGTATATTGGATTTGCCTTTAATATCTCTGTGCGTCAGTTTATCTGGCTGTGAGATGGGAACAGTGATACCTGTCCTGCCACATCCAGTGGTAGTGGGAAAGTGTCATTGAGAAAATAAACACAAAAGTGGCCATCGATAGCAGTTTCTTAGCACATGGCACTTTCATAGGACTGCCTAGCGATGTTTTTCAAGTCACGTGACAAAGAACTGTCAGTGGAGTTAGTAAGGAAAATGGGGGTCAGTTGACAATAAGATTAAAGATGTTGTAAGAATATTTAGCCTTCACTTCATTCTTTGGGAGCGGTCTCCTTTCTTCAACATGATACCATCTACATTTTCATAAAGCTAGAATTCTTAAGTAGTATTTGAGGTGTTATGGCTTAAATCTAGATGTCCCCTAAAGTCTCATGCAGTCACAGGTGGGGCTTTTCAGAGGTGGCTGGATCTAGAGTGTAGGATGCTGGGAGGAAGGATGTGCGATTACTAAATTATTTCACTGATTGACTTGGCACAGTTCTGGTAGATTAAGGGTGCCTCACCCTAGGTGTGAGTGCTACTAAGGGTGTGTAGCCTGGATAAGATAAGGGACAAAAAGAGGGTTAGGGTTAGGGTTAGGGTTAGGGTTAGGGTTAGGGTTAGCGGACTCTACCATGCCCCTCTATTATGCCACCTTGCTTTGGAGCAAGTCAATTATGGACTAAAATCTCTACAAACCATGAACTACCATAAACCTTCTTTCCTGTAACTTTGGGTGTCAGGTATTTTGTCTTAGCAATGAAAAATGTAACAAAGACATTGCCTGATTTTTTTGATTTGTTAGTGTTATCTGGAATGACTTACAAATAACCAGAAAATCATCAATGGAGAAAATTCCAGGTTAACCAAAACATTGTTGGTGCATCTCAAAAATGTTAAACATTTTCTAAACAGTATTGGAATCATATTCTTTTTCTCAGGCAACAGATTCTGCAAGGCATTGCTGAGGATTCTGAAAACAGTCGTTTTTATCTCCAATAGACTGTTTTTCCCAAACTCTAACCCCTAAAAATGTTATCACTTTACTCTAAAAATGTTCACAAGGTCATGCGTGATAGTATGTATGCGGACTCCAAATGTCTTCTACAAAACCAAAGCAGAAAGAGTAAGGGAACAGCTTAAAACTAAGTCTATGAGATTCTTAGTATTTAAAGACATACCAGGAAAGTGTGAGACCCTTCATAAAATGTTGGAAAATTTGACAATATTACTGTATCATAAATCTGTAATTAAAGTATCTCAGAATTTAGATTTCATAATTTAAATGAGAAACACATCTGAGTGTCATAAACTTTACCAGACCAGAGCGTAAATGAAACCCAGACCAATATCAGTTTTCACCTTATTTCTTATTTATAGCTTAACACTTGACTATTATACATAAAGCCATAGACAACATACTTTTCAAGACAAGGTCAAATTTAAATATCATGTTTATTTTCACCCGTGAGTATATTTCTCTTTTCATAAATATACAAGGTTACTGTACTTAGGTAAGAATATAAGCTTTTGAGTCAGATAGAAATGAAATGATCTGGATTTACTATAAATTATTAGTGTGATCCTGAGGAAGTGATGGATGTTCTCCATCACTTCAGTCTCAGTTTCAGTCTCAGTATTTAGAAATTGTGTTGGGCAGCATGAATTTTAGCTTAAAAACTGCAGTCCTAATAATCATTGTATTCTACCCCAAAATATGTGAGCAATGCTCCAGAGTATGTAGGTTAGACTCCTAAAAAGTGGCAAAAATTCATGATGTTCAGAGTATTTACACTAAAACTTTATTGTCCCAACCAAATTATTTTCTTTAAACACACACATACATACCCAAATGTTTCTTAAGATTTCTGGAGTTAGTCATTCTTCTTCATTCTGTTTTATATATGGACATTTCACAGCCTTTTAGCTCCTCACCTGGAGGATCACCAAATGGAGAAAACTGTGGGTGCCTCAAATTTGAACTCCTTACAAAAATGTGTTTCTTGAATAGGTATGGTAGCACACACCTGTAATTCCAGCACTTAGGAGGCTGAGGCAGAAGGACTACTGTAAATTCAAGGCCTGCCTAGAACTCATAGGGAGTTCAAGGACAGTCTTAACTATACTGTAAGACCTTGGCTGAAAATAAAGTTGTGTTTCTCTCTTGTGAATCAGATTTCCTTATGCGTAATCTTAGAGAAGTTTCATCCCTGTTTAGATTCTATTTCTTCCCTACATTCTTTGAATGCCTGTGCCTTCTCTGGGTCTGTCTTCAAAAATTTCAATAGTCATCATATAATAAATAAATTCATTAAGCTAAACTGAATGTTTCAAATGAGATCTTAAAACCACCTTCATAATTTAATAATTCTTACTGTCTTTGACCATTGCACCGAATAATATATCTTATTTTTAATAAGCCAGCCTCACTATGTTTCTCATAAAATGAAGTCCATGATGAACACTACCTAATGAATGCAAGTTCCATTTCACTAATAAGCTTGGTCTTGGCTGTGGGCTTTTTAGAAATGATTAAATATTACAAATGTAATCCACGTGTAAGAGTACGTGAAATGTTGGGGAGCAAAATTTCCCTAAAAGAAATTTTCCTAGCTCAAGAGTAAGGCCAGTATGGCTGGGGAAGGAGCTGAAAACACACAGAATAAGTGAGACTTGGAGCAGGAAGGAATCTGAAAGAGGGGGTTCTAACCAGTGGGGAAAGATTCTCCAGGAACCCCTTAGACCCGGGCACTTTTTTCCTCCATCTCCTTAAAGCCAGGAAGGTTTCTAAATTCCTCCCAACTAGTGTTGCAGCAGGCATTTTATATAGAGTTTCTTGTTCCAGAAGGAAAAATCACTGGAAATTATCCTTAGTGGAGAAGAGCTTGTGTTGCAAAAATATACTACAGACCTGCGAAATGACAAAAAAAAAAAAAGATAATAATAATAATAATAATAAAGGGACAGAGACAGTCAGGGAACTCTGTAATTAAAACTCAAGTACTTTGCATTTTCAAGACTGAGAGGAGACAGCTCCAGATCAAAAGCAAGGGAATGCGGTTCAGTCAAGCCCTGTGCTGGAACAGAGGATGCGTCCAAAAGGGGTCTTAAAAGCAGAGCAGAGGATGCTACAGAATGGCGTGATGAAGGAGGGAGAATACAGAGGAGTCAGCGGCATGGTAACCTTCATAAAAGAAGCCAAATGCTGTCTGGGAAATGTGCAGGTCTGAGGGCGGAGAGTCCCATCTGTGTGGCTTTGGTAAACAGAGTTGACCTCATCCAAGCAGAGGAGATATCTGACCTTTCTACTGTATACTTTATACAGGTCTAAATGAATTGCAGATTCTTTCCTGCAGCAATGTAAACCCTCAATCTTAAAACGGTGCTGTGTGCAGAGCAGGCTCACATCCTCCTCTTTATAAAACATTCTCATTTCTTCGAAGACAGTTATTAAATCACATCTCAGAACTCGGGTATCTTCAGGGAAAAAAAAAAAACTCAAACTGCTGTTACTTTGCTCCCCTCCCCCAAAGATTCAATTAACAAGAGGGAAAAGGTGGTGTGTTTTTAACAAGTTCTTCACGCTGAACTGCTTAGAGATGTACATTAGGCCTCCTTTTAGTAATAGGAAAAAATTATCTCGTCATGATTCGGCTCTCTTCCCCACCTCCAGCGTAAGACTGCAATCAATCAGCCGGACAGCAAGATTGATTTTCTAATTAAGCTGGCATTTGTATAGGCGCAGAGAGCCACAGAAGGCTTGCCTACTGTATCTTCCCAACACATTCCTATTTGTATTCATTTACCCTCACGCAGGCTGTTCAAAGTTGGGGAGGGGAAAGGGTTAGTCACTCTCTCCATGCAAATATCTAACAGGAAAGAGTTACATCTAATTACTGAGCAAAGGAGAAAGGGAAAAAAAAAAAAAACGGGGACAGAAATCCATTTGGACTGCTGCTGCTCTGGGGTGGATGAGACTGGCCACTGTGCGGTCCCCCTTCCATCCCACCCCTGGGTGGGGGGGCCTGCTGTGGCCGCAGCTGGGCTGCCAACACAGATGGCTGGAGGGACCCGGCTCTGAGCATTTCTATTTCAAACATCGCTTGCCAAAACGGTATAGCAGGCTGTGGTGGCAGCCTAGGCGATAAAAATGTGCTCCCGATTTAATTTATTTAGGGGAAGAATATGAAACGCTGAACAGCTCAGCCAGGTTCTGTGCGTCCTCCGGGATTCCATAGAGGAGAAAACTTCCTTTAGTAATTCTGGATCCCACGCGCGGGGTCTTGTTGGCCGTGATCTCCTTCAGTGCAAGACACCAGGGAATAAAAGTGAAATCAGCAAGAAAAGCTTGCATCTTTTTTAGTTCATTCCTGGTACATCCATTACCTAATATTTTATTTAAAAGCTCAGACTCGCCCTAATTCAAAATGCTAAGTTCAATTCGAGAAACATTCTGACCTGAACTGAAATGAGGTCCACTTATTTTTTTGTTAATGTTCAAAAAAATAGGAAGAAAAAAAGAGAAGAAGGTAGTAGACCTGAACTGAAATGAGGTCCACTTATTTTTTTGTTAATGTTCAAAAAAATAGGAAGAAAAAAAGAGAAGAAGGTAGTAGAGGTAAATAAAATGACTTGAGGGGGTGAATGTGTGTAACCAGTTTGTGTAAGAAATTATGTGTTTCAAAAAATAGTCTTCAGGTAACACCACTCATATGCTGGTCTTTGGTGGCCACCAGATCGTTCCTGTTGCCCTGTGCTATACAAACACAACACACTCCAGATGGAACCCTTCACCCTTCCCTGAAACCCTGCTCTTTTCTGATGTTCCCATGTCTGTTTATTGGATGCCCATGTGCCTGATCGGTAGGTTTAAAACCTGGATATCACTGTGAATTCAATTGTCCCTTGAGCCCCATATCTAATAGGTTGCCTTGTTTTATAAAGCAGGTGTCTGGTTCAACTAGTAAATTTATTATCATTCCTCATTCAGGTCATGGTAATGATTTCCTAACAATTGTAGTGAAATCATTAGTAATGGTCTCATTATTTCCCCAAAGTATCTTGTATTCTGACACTCTATCCTCAGATTTCCTGCAGCTTCCTCCTGAATCTACTGAAGTATAAATTCATGAATTAACAGGCCTTTAGTTACTAATATGACACTGAAAGTGCAGGGATTTGTACGGGAAGTTGACGCCTTCCCCACCAGTAATAAAGATGCTTTGCTGTCCAAACTTTAATTTTTTTCCTAAGCCTTCTCCTAGGCCTATCTATGCATTTCCTTGTAAATCCAGTTTTAACACGAACCCTCTTGAATGAATTCAACAAGAACCCTAAGATCAATCACTTTTATTAGCCAACCAGCTTCAGTGTTTCATCATTTCTCTTCCATCATTGTCCATGTGTTGTCTGATCACTTTGGCCTCTTTAGTAAGAGTTATTTTTAGGTAGGTTTAGCCAGAATCCTTTTCCCCCTGGTAATGTTTTATTAATTTACCATCCTGCTCTTTGACTATAAATTCTCAGGTGCCCATCCGGCCTTTGGAGTTGAGCCCAGTGCTAACCTTTGCCCCAACCCCTACCATCACACATATGCAGATTACAAATCTCATGGTCATTGACCCTATACCTATTGCAACGGTACTGACTAGTATTCCTTTCCATGATTTAATAAGTATCATTGAGTAATTTTGTCTGTATAGAGGCATTTGAAAGCTGTGTCAGATTTGTTTCATATGGCGTAGGGACTAGAAATCATAAGATCCTAAGAGTAAGACATTCACAGATGCAGTACCCTACTGAGGAACACTACTTCAAGTCTGGCAAAATGTAACTTCCTCTTCCTCCAAATGAGCCTCACCTTGGTTATGACTCTCTCCACCTCCATCCATAAGGCAGCTCTTTCAAGCACATGGTCCTGATCATCACTGAGTTGTGCACACACACATGCCATATGCATTGGACTTTTCTCATTGTGAATTTCAGTTAGGACCTTAACATGGTAGGTCTTATACTAATAAATTAGGGACTTTTACAATCCCTTCCCTTAAACTGTAAGCTCTTCAAAAGGAAGTGCTTGTAATATGCATTTGTATATAAGTGACACAAGTTAAACAATGCTTAATGTACAGTAAGTATTCAATTCAATATGCAGTCATTAAGTTGATCTGGGTTAAGCTTCTGTGCTGGCAATGAAATCCAGAGGCTCAGGGAATCAGTAAGTAGAAAAGGCAAGAACAAACCATATTCTCAGAAAGCAGGAGTCACAGCATGCAGAGAGAAGCTGTAGCTCAGCTATCTGAGAAAGCAAGCACAGCATTCCCGATGAAAGGTCAGGCAAGAAGAGCTCAGAGCCTCTGTGAGCCAGCAAAAAAGGGCAAAGCAGACACAAAGAGCAGCTCAAAGAAGCCTAACAAACAAAAAGACAATTCAGAATCAAAAATGATTTCATCACTGAGAACCTGAGTGGTCAGAGGCTTTGACAGGAAGAGTCAAGCTGCTGAAGGGAGCAACTGCATGGCTGTGGGGCTGGGACACAGCTGAGCCAGCTCGTGTTCTGCCCCAGGCTCTGTGCTCTTAGCAGTTCCTCTGAGGCTGAGCATTCATCTTGGCTATATTAGCATGAGCTCTGCAGGAGGGGACAGACCCCTGGGAGCACTTGGCCTGTGCATTTGCAAAAGTCAACAGTAGCTTTTCAGAGAAAAAGCTAGAGAAGGCCATTAGCTTCCCAGCTGCTTGGCAGGAATGGCTGCAGGTTGAGAAGGGGAGAGACGGCGTTTCCATGTACTCTCAGCTACATGAGTCAGACTCGTGATAGACTGCTAAGAAGCAAGTGACTTGAGGAATAAAAACCACACCTGAAAGTAATTTCTGCAGAAAGAATGGAAGGAGGAAATGTTAGAAATGAAGAGAACTCCAAAATGAAAACAACTGTGCAACACAGTAGGACTGAAGCCAAGGAAATAGAGTAAAAGAAAATGAGAAAATGTGCTACAAAGAAAATTGCAAAGGAAAAGATATTTTAAAAGCACAGATGATTCTTGTTTGTGTGTTTGTTTTGGTACCAGAGATCGAACTCACAACCTCACACTTATCACGCAAGTGCTTGAGCCACTGAGCTAAATCCCTGCACCCAGAAAAAGGTATTATGATCTCAAAACATAGACTGTGTCTAGAATAGAGAGAACAGAGGCAAATGGCCATAGTGTAAAATTATGGAAAATAACTGTCTCCCCACTAGGCAGGTCACACTTAGGTGGTAGTACCCACAAACTGGTAGAAAGAGAATGATTTGGGAGAAACTGAAACTTAATTGAAATTGTATTTTGAAAAAGGAATAACCATTGATGGTGACAAGA